GCCATTCTTACCTTCCACACCTCTTCCTTCTCCTCCTCCTCCTCCCCTCTTCCTCTTTCTCTATTCTCACCACCAACGCTAACCTTCTTCCCTCCTCCTCTCATACCATCTACCTGATCAACTCCCCTCCCCCTCCACATCTCCTCCTCCTCCTCTCTTCTTAAATTGATTATACTAAGGGGTATTATAGTAATTCTACATTTTAAAATTTTTACCCAAAAGTGTGACATTGAGAGGGTAACATATATATAAGGTGGTTGGCATAAAAATGCATTAAAGATGGTTTGTCTCAATTTCACCTATAGTTAAAGATGGTTCCATAAAAAAAAACCTTAAGTACATATGGCTTTTGTTTATAAACCCTAAGTTTACTCTCCTTTTTCTAAAGCCCGTGTGGTCTTATATGAGTTTTATACCCAAAACAAAAGATTTTGCTTACCTTTAAATCCAAAATACATAATAGGGTGTATGGCTATGTAAGATAGAAAGCATAACTAATACCATATTTCGTATAGGTACATATTGTAGAAAGTATATCTACATTATTTTAGAGTGCATAGCTACAAATCCTATTATATTGTAGTCTATTATATGGTCTTGAAAACCATTGTCTTTTAAAAACCACTGCCACAATAGTGGAATCCTACATGGCCTAATATCATTCATTGAATTTAGAATATACAATAATGATTTGAGAAATTGGAGATGTTCCAATTATCATCTAATGGGAGAGGATCTTGTTGATGTCAGTTATCAAACAGGGGATTATTATAGGTTGTCTAAAGATTACTGCAAATAGTTGATCCCCATCAAACACTGATGATGGAAGTTATAATTTAACGGTTTTCAGAAGGCTACAATTTAAAGACTTTCACATAGATCGATGAATGTTACAATCTGACGACCTTCACAATAACTGATAAAATCTCTATTCAACAGCCTTCACAATCAACATCAGGAGTGATAATCTGACAACTATCATATTTTTAAGGAGCCAAAACGAAGGTTACAATGTGACGATCTTTGCAACGCTCTAGCAAAAGAGACTACAAATTGACGGTCTCTTCAAATTAAAATGCAGATATCTCTCAAACCGAAGGGAATTTGGCAAAACAGACGGCGAAAAACCCCTTTGAAGGTTTGGTTGGCTCCGTCTTGTCGAGATAGCTGATTTTTATATATAATTCGTCCAATTCTGACTTACAGTTTGAAAGTTATGACATGTTCTTCGCAACAAGTTATGTTCCGAAGTCCGTCTGTAAGACTGAACTTCGCCTGAACATTGGACTTCGCCTGAAGCACACCAAGCTCACCTCTATATTCCAGAGTTAAGACGCAGAGCTTGTGGCCACGTTCCCAGAACAAAACGCATAGGTCCTTCCTACGTTGCAACACCAAAACGCGGAGGTCCTCCCCGTGTGTCAGCAACAAAACACAGAGGTCCTCCTTACGTTGACACAGAGGTCGATCCTACGTCGCAACATCAAAACGCAAGGTTCATCCCTAGCGTTCCAGTTAAAAATGCATAGTCCGTGGACTCAAAACGCAGAGTTCATCTCTGCGTCCCAACTCTGTGTTTCAGATTTACAACATTGTGCGAACACGGCATTTTCAGCCTAAAACAGGCCCAACTCTGTATTTCAAATCTAAGACGCAGAGTTCGGGCCCAGAACGTCATTTTCGGTGTTTGGCTCATTTAAGCCCGAGCTGAATGTTAGCCTTCTTGTTTTGATGATGATTTAACAAACAATTTACATCTAATATTATTTATCTAGTGTTTGTGTTTTGTTATTTATTATAGACAAATAATAAGTTGGAGGATGGATGGAATTACGCATTCACGATCATATCCAATGGAGGATGGCAGAATTATGGAGTGAAGCATTATAATTCAAAGTTGAAGATCCAAGCTCAAGCTTCATCCGCAAGTGTACTAAGATAGAGCTTCGTTGAAGATCACAAGCTTGGGTATATGTATTGATGATGATTTAACAAACAATTTACATCTAATATTATTTATCTAGTGTTTGTGTTTTGTTATTTATTATAGACAAATAATAAGTTGGAGGATGGATGGAATTACGCATTCACGATCATATCCAATGGAGGATGGCAGAATTATGGAGTGAAGCATTATAATTCAAAGTTGAAGATCCAAGCTCAAGCTTCATCCGCAAGTGTACTAAGATAGAGCTTCGTTGAAGATCACAAGCTTGGGTATATGTAGTTTTAGGTTCTTATATTATGTGTGTCAGTACTTTAAGCTCAATCATATATACACACACATTATATTGGTTTTCTTATATATATATATATATATATATATTATATGTTTCATACTCTATTATGTTTAAATATATATTGCGTAGAATATGCAATTTTGTGATAATATTGATTTCTTAGTATATGGACTTAACAATAATGATATACATCTTCTATTAAGTCTATATAATCATTTTGTATTGTTTCAAAACATAGTTTAGTCAAAATGTCAAAACATGTATGTTTAGTTTTCATGTTTTTGGACTATTTTGCAAAATGATAATTTTTTTCAAATGTGAAGTGTAATTCCAAAAATTCTTTTTATAACATGTTCATTTACATGTTTATAAACATTTTCCAAAGTTTTATAAATTTTGGAATTTATTTGCTATTTTTAAAGACACTTCAAAGTTGAGTTTTTTTTCTGTGCATTTCAGGTTTGTGCACGTATAAGTCGACTTATGAGTCAGCTCATAAGTCCACTCATGAGTCGACTCATAAATCGACTCATGAGTCGACTCATAAGTCGACTTATGAAGTGTAGCCCAGCTGTGTTTTTCTTCTGCTGAGTCGACTCATATAAGTCGACTCATAAGTAGACTCATAAGTTGACTTATCAGAGAGCCGTTGCACAGTAACGACTAGTTTTCTGTTTTGTTTGTTTTTAGGTTTTTGGTCTTTTCGCTTGGATTTTTGCTGATGTTTTGGGAGCATATAAATACCCCATTGTATTTATCTCTTCCACCATCCAAGAGAATATTTTAAACAAGTTTAACAAGGGTTTAAAGTTTGTTTTAGTTTGTTTAAAAGAGTGTTTAAGAATTTTGCTTGTGAAAAGAATTTCACAAGAGCAAGTGAAGATCATCATTGGTGTTTGAGCATTCACTCTTCTCCCTCTCTCTTGTTATCTATAGAGAAGTTTCCCTAAACTCAATCTAGCTTTACATTTATATTGTTTAATTACCATTTTATTAAGCTAGTGTTTATATTGAGTTTAGTTGATTTTATTTACTCTTTGTTTACACACACAACCATTAAGCTTATTGTATTTGCATACATTGTATAATTGGGTTGTGGGATTGTGTGACTTAGAGTGTAAGCTTACATTGAGTTCTCACCTTGTATTAGAGAACAAACACTTTGTTATTGTGCCTAATTGTGTAGATCACTTTGTAATACACTTGTACACCGAGAGGAGTGTGTGGTGAGGACGGAGTCGATACCAAGAGGAGTGTCGTCGGCGGCCTAGTGAGAGGTGATAATTCCGAGTACTTAAGGGAGTCGATACGTGAGGACCAACACTTGAGGTTGTAGCTTGTGTATGTACATTGTGAGGAGTTGTGAGAGTTGTCGGTTAACTTGATAACCGAGTGTGTAGAGTTTTCGGTTAGCTAGAAAACAGAGTGTGTAAAGAAGTTCCGGCTTCCAAACCGGGTTGTGTAGTGGATTCTCCTCGAGAGTGGGGAGCGGGGACGTAGGACGGAAGGTCCGAACCTCGTGAACATATAGCGTGTTTGGTTTGCATTGGCGCATTTATAAATGTTCATCTTATAGCATATTGCATCTTGTTTACATTGTCCACTAGTTTGTTTCACCCTTGTGATAGTTTAAATATATCCTTGCATATACCATATAATATATCTCTTTACTAGGATATATCACCTTAGTTATATTGCTTATTCTTACTCATATCACATTGCATGTATATCTATCTTGCAAGAATAATTTGTTAGTTAGTTTTAATTAACATAAAATTAGATTATATTAGCATAAACCCTATTCACCCATCCCCCTCTAGGGTTCCTTCATAGCGACCTTAGGGTCTAACATTGAACAGTTCCAGAAACCGTTTTTCCTTCATAGCAGTTACACCCCTTAATCCCCCTATAAATATGGATAAACTCAACTGAGTTAGGTGCTCTCTCTCTCTCTCTCTCTCTCTCTCTCTCTCTCTCTCTCTCCTCTCTCTCTCTCTCTCTCTCTCTCTCTCTCTCTCTCTCTCTCTCTCTCTCTCTCTCTCTCTCTCTGGATCGGGAATATTGGAGATCAGCACAATACTTCTTGGCATAAGAAGGATCTCGGCAATCTTCAGACCCTCGGAGTTGTTCTTGGAGCTTTAATCAAATTTGGCTTACAAATCGATTTTCGGTTAAATCCATCAACTCTTTCATGGAGTTATAATTCGCTCAGAGTTCCCTAACTTGTTAAGAGTTTCAAACTTGCTCTGCAAGTTCTTCTAAACTCGTTCAGAGTTCTAAAGCTTGCTTTGCAAGTTCTCCACAACGTCAAATCGTGAGGAGAAGATATCGTTCTAGTGAAGCGAAATGTCGGATCGTCAACAGAAAGCAAACTTGACACGAGTATTCGAGGGAGATATTCCATCGCCACCGTGAAGAAACCAGAATTAAACAAAGGGAAAGATCTTCGCCGATTTTCTTCTCTTTTGTAATCAGAAATTCAAATTATAATCGAGATTGAGAGAGTTATAAACATTCTTTTTCTAAACAGTTAGAAAGAATAAATCAAATTCAATTATTTCATTTTTTCTTATTGTAAATTTTCCAACAAACAATTATTTGCGAATTTGTGGAGTGATTAGGGCCATTTAACTCCTTCCGATGAATGGTTTTTGAGTCGATTGTTTTTCCCTGCACAAGAAAAAACTCGTATGAGGGCGGAGTTGGGTTCTCCGGTTGTTCATCTGATGATCAGGTCAGAAGATGATCTTGAGTGGGGAAATATAGGGTTAGCTCTTAGTTGTGTAAAAAAGGCAGAGAGAGTTACCTCATGCAGTGCCTCTCTTTTTTTAATGGATCTGAGAGGTAAGAAGGTAACTTGGGCTGAGTCCAGCTAGGCATCTAAGTCGGCAGATAGCTGACAGGTGTTGGCCGCTGGCGAAAATGGGCCATCTAGGTGGTCAGTACCAAATGACAGCAACTGCTTGGTGCTGATGGTAGCCTGATAAGTCATAAAACTTTATGGACTAGAGCAATAATGACTTTGTCAGAATAGTTAATGCAAGGACATGCGATTGTTAGCGCGGGGTTCGAGAAAACTACAAACTCTTTTAGTCGTCTAGCTGATGATCGACTATACATATTGATGCCTGCTATAACGGACCGAATGTGGGTTATTCGCAGGGATGATTGGCTGGGTTGGACGACAAGTACCGCCTTTTGACTTGGTTACACGAGATGTCGGCTGAACGGTGGGCCGAGTCAGGTCGCTTATGGAATCAATTGAATGGTTGGTCGAGTAGTACCGCATTTTGTCTCGGTTATGCGAGATGTTAGCCCATCAAGTCGGCCATGCTGTAGCGGAGATTATATTGGTCTTGAATTAGCCGTATTAGGTATAGTGTAAGACACGTATCGACTGCTCTGTGAAGATTAATATTTATTATTTTTTTAGGGGTATAACAGATCGAAATCCCTAGTTTTTATGATGAATAACCTCCACGATTGAAATGCTTTTCTTGGAATCACATTTTAAGCTTTTCTTAGGAAGCTAATCGAGAATTGCGATACGCCCGCGCATTGGACTATAAATTGGTCACAAGTTGGCCAAGCCCAGGAATCAGAAGACCATCTTTTCTATGAAACTGAACAATGGGCCTCCACTACAATCCATGTGAAATATTGAAATTATACTTTGTGCGTGTATGATTCACATGGAATATTGACCGTGAAAAGTTCCCCCACTTCTTTTTAACAGATGTTGAGTTTAAGTATGCCGACATTTTGTCCATTACAATAGCTGAAATACGTCTAAACTAATAAAAAAAATATTTGAAAGTATGGATACAGGATACCATTATGGAACCGATATGGGTCTTGAAATGCAAAATGATTAATGTGTACGATTTTGGGTCCCCGTATGCTTCATTCTCAACTAATCCAAATTTAACCAATTTGATTCATCATCAATAACATCTGCAAGAGGAGTCATTCATCTTTCTCCTAAAATTTTTGTTGTCTCAGGTCAAACCTAATCTATGTACATACATACTCATATCTTTCTATCTATCACAATTTATTTTAGGGGCAGTTTGGTTGGCTGAGAAGCTAATAAAATGAAATCAAAACACCCGACACACCCATGTGAAGGTTTTTGATTTTCTTTTCTTGTGTTTGGTTGAGAGAGGGAAAAAACAAACGTTGTGCATGTGAGACCCACCCACTAGTAAGATAATAGTGCAATGAGTCCCAATTTTAAGGAAACACATTTCCTTCCAAAACGTCATGAAACAGACTTGAAATACTAGCTTGCAGACTGTTTCACAAAATATGTGGCTCGGCAGACTGATAATAATCACCGACGCGTTTGGTTTCAAGGCATCCCAACAATTAGAACCTCGGATCTTAAGTGTTACTAAAGGAGTATTTAGATTTTTTTTTCAAGAAGGCATAATTATCTGCGGAAATATTATTTTCAGGCTATAAAAACAAAATTATTAGCACCATAACCAATATATACAAATATATACCAAGATTCTAATATGCACATAAAAGGGAATTATTCACTTTGCACATTCCCAGCATTTATCATAAGTGCAATTATGCAGATAACAGAATAGCAGAGTTAACTAACATCCTTAATAACACTTGTATCGCATAACCTTCAGTAGATTAAAAAAAAAACCCATCGGTTTCATATCAAGCAACCAAAGCAAGAGGAAGTCCACGATGACAAGCATATTATAACTATATGAAGAATCTAATTAACTAACTAGCTTTTCGCTGAAATCCCACAATTTTTTGGCCAAGGTCTCCTGTCTTGCCAAAATGCTCGGTTTCATCTCGTTGCAGTCGAGGAAATATTTGCCTGTCACTCCCTTGAGGCTCGGATGAAGAGCAACGAAGCACGTAGTTGCAGCTCCCTGCAGCAATACGTAATTTACATGTAGTTTAGTTTAGTTTATTTTTTCTTTTTTTTTTCCTTTTTCCTTTTCTTTTCTGGGTTGGGTTTTTGAATTAAATTTATGGCGCTTCGGATGTAATATAAGTAGATTTATGATTTATTCATGGTTTCATACCTGCGGTACATTCTTCCAGAAGAGATAAGTGATAACTTGTAGGAACTCTGCCAGAAACAGAGGAGAAAAAAAAATGTCACGCTTTTGAGCTTAAATAGATAACTTATTCGATGAAGATTTAATCACAAAAACACATACTCATTAGGAAGAAAGAATGTCTCATCAAATTGGTCATGATTAGCCCTGGATGAACACAATTTATTGTAACATTTGCACCATCTTCCTGCATCGCAAAATTTGAAATTTTACATAGCGTAATATTCATGAATTAATAATAATAAGTAGTTTATTGTACAGTAGAGATTCAACATACAAACAGGATACATCATGATAGGGAGTTAATAATCATCACCAAATGGATAAGTTCTATAAGGTGCACAACCAAGAGGGAGTAAAAGCATAGTAAGTTTCTCCATAAAACCAAGTAATATAAATATACCGCCTTGTAATGTTTCACCATAAATTCTTCGAAGAATGCAAAGGTTGGCATATGAATTAAGTTAGCACGAATTTACCTTCAGGCGTCTAGATAGTTCATTCGCGTGCAGTAGATTTGCTAGCTTGGATTGTCCGTATGCCTTCTTATCATTATATCTGAAATACAAGAAAAAAGAGGAAGAACATCAATATCGCAAAACAAATGTGAATTTATGCAAAAGTTCATCAAGCTGATGCATTTTTACCCATCCTTATTGTTGATTGCATCAAACCGAATTCCTTTTTCATAAGTATGATGATGCGCAATTGATGACAGATTTACGATACGACCCTCGATTCCTGTTTCCTTCGCTGTGCTCTTCATTTTCTCAAGGAGAAGCTTTGTCAATAAGAAATGACCTGTAACAAAATAAATCAAGCCGTCAAGTGTCAGCTATATACATCTAACACAGAAATAAGCAGTCAAAATTCAGCAAGATTAACAGAAAAAAAGAGAGTAATGTAAAATACCGAGATGATTTGTAGCAAACTGCATCTCAATACCATCTTCTGATAGCTGATGAGGGCAGAACATAACTCCAGCATTGTTTCTAAACAACAAAACATAATAATATATAAATTTACTCCAAATAAATTAACAAGTATCAAGAACATCACAAAAAAGCCGTAGAGAATTACATTAAGACATTAAGTGGGAGACCCATCGCGTTGAAGTTATCAGCAAAAGCTTGTACAGACTTCAAGGAGCTGAGATCAAGCTTCAATACATCAATATGAGCAGTTGGGTTGCTCTTGAGAATGACCTGCTTCGCAGAGTTTGCAGCATCCATGTTTCTAGCTGCAATTATTACATGAGCTCCTCTAAGTGCAAACACTCTGGCGGTCTCTGCACCAATTCCACTGGCTCCTCCTACATTTTTTCCCCCTCATCAAGATCATTCGTTTGAAATTTGAAACTTTGTGTTTGTAGTAAGCGCAGAAAACATACACGAATCAAGGTCAAACAAATTGATAATAATCAGTGACATGCCAAGGTTCTGAACAGGTTACCCGTTCTCGAACGATCCTTTTTTTATTATAAAAAAAAAGTAAGGCAAGAAGCATATAGACGAGAGAATTACAATAAAAGGTTAGCATCTAGGTGCATGCGACGTGTATGCGACGTGTCCAAAACACAAGGGCACTTTCAAAATTCTAGAAAGAGCTTTGCTACAGGGACCCAAAATATGAGACCAATAGAGGGGACAAGTAAGGTGTTCTGCTCCTATTGGATAATGAGTTGGCTATCATTAATGATGACCAACTCATTATCCAATAAGAGAGGGACAACTCACTTGTCCCCTCTATTGGTCCCATATTTTGGGTCATTGAGGAATTTTTCTTCTAGAAATTGCACAAAGATTGGCGTCTTCAACATCAACATAGGGGGCCTGTTCACGACGAGGAGAAGTCTGTCCAGAGGTTGGAAGATACGATCTGACCGTCGGATTCAAGCCAAATCCAACACTCCGATCGTGGGAAAATTCGTCCGGAATAATAACAAAATTCACCCAGATAAAAAAAAATAATGATAATCAACGGAAGAAAGAGAAAGCAAGCAATCATTTATTGTAAATGTTGATGTTGCTGTGGATTAGCTATCACATCAAAGGACCCGGATCAACTACTTCAATCAGTGCGCAATAGACCACCACCTTTTTAGTTGGAATAACTGCAAACTTTTATTAGGTCCATTATATAATTAGATCCGGTTGCAGTTTCAGTCATAAATTGGCTCAGGGGCTGTTCGGTTGGGAAAAAAAAACATGGAAGTCAAAGATAAGAAACCTATTTCCTTATAACAGGTTCTTTTCTTGTGTTTGATTTACTTCTTAAAAATAAAAATGAGATGGGATGAGATGAGTTGTCACTGTATTATTGGATGATGTGAGTAATTTTTTAAGAAAGAAATTATAAAAAATGTTTTGAGGTTGTTTGGTTCGCTAAAAAAATAAGGAAATGAATTATAAGAAACCTATTTTCTATAATAGGTTTTTTTTCTTGTGTTTGGTTCATTCTTAGAACTAAGAAAATAGATGATATGAGATGGGTTGTCATTATATTATTGGATGATGCGACACATACTTAAGGAAACCAATTTTCGTGTTTTTTTAGGAAATGGATGGAAAGAAAATTTTAATGAGATGAGATGAGTTGTCACCATATTATTGGATGATGTGGGTGATTTTTAAAGATGAGATGATATGGGATGAGATGGATGATGTGACCCATTTCTTGTAGGAAATGGATGGAAAGAAAATTTTAATGAGATGAGATGAGTTGTCACCATATTATTGGATGATGTGGGTGATTTTTAAAATGAGATGAGATGAGTTGTCACCATATTATTGGATGATGTGGGTGATTTTTAAAGATGAGATGAGATGGGAGGAAATGAGATGAGATGAGTTAGATGATGTAACCCATTTTCTTGTATTTGATTTATTTTTAAAAGTAAGAAATGAGATGAGATGAGTTGTTGGATAAAAAAAAAATTTATTGGATGATGAAGGTGAGTTTTAGGGATGGAAATAGCAATCTGGTAATTTAGCCATAAATTATCAGACAAAAAGACAGTTTAACTGTGTGAAATAAAATTTGTCAACAACACAAGAAAAATGTGTCTCTTAGCCCAATGTACAGTTTTATTGTACTGTAAGAAAAAAAAAAAAGGAAAAGCCCAGTTTGCACCATCCAAAATCTAGTGAAAATTAACTATATTTTAGATAATGAAAAGGGTTTTTTGATCTTTGAAGTTTCACCACGATTTTTTGTTCAACTTCAAAGATAAAAAAAAAAAAAAACCCTTTTTAGACCTGCTCACTTCCAAAATCATTCTTAAAGCTAAATTATCCGAACTGAACTACTTTTCAATTCAATTCCTATTTTAGTTGTTATACTAATGTCTAGGTTGTATCCATCTGGGTTTAACAGGGGCTTACAAAAATAATCCAGTTCACATAATTTCGAATAAAGAATGATTTTGGAAGCGAGCTGAGTTGGTTCAAAGTTAATTAGATAACTTTTGGTCGATTAAAAAAAAATATCCCTAATGTTTGTTTTTTTTTATATCCAAACTATGACAAGCCAAACACAAAATCAACTTATAACGTGTCTACAAGTTCATTGATCTAGGATAAAATACTGCAAAATATAATTTGCAAAAACTTCAACTCATCAACATTCTAAAAAGGTAGAGAAGAAAACAAAAGTGCAACTTACAAAAAGAGAGAGGAAGAAGAAGAGGAGGGAAAAAAAACCCATGTCTCAATAAAACAAGCATGCAATATTCTCCAAAATAAATAAATAGATAAATAAAGCATGCAAAGATCACATATTCACAAGTAAATAGAGAGAGAGAGGGAGAGAGAAAGAAATAGTAAAATTATAAATAAAAAAAGAAAGAAAAAGAAAAAAGAAGAGCGTGCTACCGGTGATGATGGCAGTGAGCTTGGAGGCATCTACATTCTCGGTGACTTGCTCGGCCGTGGATGCGGATCCAAACCCGCTTGGACCCGGTAGACCAGTCATCAGAGAAAATATACCCACCATCTTTCTTCTATGAAAAAAAAAAAAAATCCTAAATTTTATTTATCTGAAATTGAGCACGAAAGAGAGAGGGGTTAAAAAGAGACGAATGCAGGGTTTCAAAGAATAGGAAGTTATTTATGGTTGAGGTACTGATAGCGGGTCGGTTGGACACAATTTAATGCACGCCGCACCGTTTGGGATTAATTTTTATTTTTATTTTTATAAATCTAACTTAATTAACTGAAATATATAGAAAGATTTTTTTAAAATAATATCTTTAATTCTAGCTAGATTCAACGGCTCCCATGACCGTCATCAATTGTAAGCAAGGAAGTTATGGGTCATTTCTTTATTGTTGAATATAATTCTGTTTTCAATAAATTGGATAATAATTATGGAATTTTCTCACATCAGTCCCTTGCATCTTTAATAATTTGAACTTAGTCTATCGGAATATTGACATTGCAATTAGGTCCCCGATCTTATATCTTACTACTACTGCTAGTGGGATTAATTCGAAGGAACTTACAATAACATTGTGACCCGGTAGCAATATATTAATGATTTAAGGGACTATTTTCAGAATAGTAAACATATAAGGGGGTAATATTGAGAAAATTATTATTATTATTTAATATATGAACTTATTGAATTGAGAATTTAATATTTGAATAATTATGGCAGAATGGCTCTCACGACTTGTCTCAATAAGATTCAGATGGGCTAAATACCCATATTGGTATTTTAATTCCACCCGATTTACCAAGAAGGTATTTTAATTAGGCAAACATACTTTAAGGCATTTTAATTGATTCAACTTACCAACAAGGCCATTTTTCTCGTCGGCGACCAGTTTTCCGACGAGAGCTCGTCACGTGTGTGGCACGTGATGACTTAAAACTGTTTTTTAGCTGCTGATGTGGCACGGATCTGTCCTATTTTGGGTGAATTGGGATTTTTAGAGTGTTAATTCTTGCCTTTAAACACTGCCACGTCAGAAAATCCGTGCTACATCAACAGCTAAAAAACAGTTTAAGTTATCACGTGCCACGCACGTGACGAGTTCTCATCGGAAAACTGGTCGCCGACGAGAAAAAGGACCTTGTCGGTAAGTTGAATCAATTAAAATGCCTTAAAGTAGGTTTGCCTAATTAAAATACATTCTTGGTAAATGGGATGGAATTAAAATACCAATATGGGTATTTAGCCGATTCAGATGAGAAACCCAAGTCAACGAAAGAGAACTTTAATTTATATCAGAATTATTTTTTATGGACTTCTCATCAAATTCAGATCCAAATAGATGTTGTTTATATTCAAGGATTCTGTTAATTTTAAGTGAAAATTCTTCTTTCTATTTTTGTTATATGAAAATTCTAGATCAGATAAGCGACCTGTGTAGGATTCTAACAGATTAAAATATTCAATTTCATAGATTTTATCCTTCAGAATTCTTATTGGACGGAGATTTGTTATTTGAGAAATGGCCCGAGTGTTTAAGAAAAATTAAACGCCATAGTCTGAATGTTCTGGTTTAATAAAAATTGAACGTCAGTTTTTGATAACTTGTATATCTTTGTTTAGGGTTTTTAGATATGAGTGGCTTAAATATTTAACAATTGCATATTCGTCCCTCAACTCTTGAAAATTTCATATGTAGTGCCTCAAATCCTATAGGGTCTTGCAAAAATGGTCCTTCTAATTAACACACATTAGATTGAGAGGAATATTCTGCCAAATCTAAAGGTTTGAGCAAACTAACCATTTTACCCTTCAAGTATGTTTCCAAGTTCATTTCGTTATACGGTTAAACCTATTACCCTCTTAAATAAACTTAAATCCACTTGAGTTCTTCTTCTCCAATGGTTAAAAAAGAACATTAACCCAAATTTGAGATTCACAAATGTTTGAAACAATAAAGAGAGGGGTGGTTTGATGATTGCATATGTGTTGATGTATGGAATCACACAGTTAAATAAAAGGGGTTGATTAAGTTGACGGAAGTCCTCTAACTCTCCGAATGTCTGGTTCTTGAGAATGTTGTTCTTCCCTGCACAAGTAGCAAATCATAAGAGCGCGGTGTTGGGTTCCCCGATTGTTTCTCTGACGATCAAGTCAGTGAATCACTTGAGTGGAGAAGTAAAACGGACTGTAGTAGTTCTTAAGCACAGAGGGTGGTAGCAAAAATTTACACTGTTATTGAAAATAATACCTCTATTTATAGTAGTGATAGGAGGATAGAATGATAACTTCGATCGAGTATGGGGTGGCGGCCATGTTAGTTTCAGCTTTACAGGTGTCGGCTGACAAATGAAGGAGATATCACTTCGGTATTTAATGCGAAGTGATGAGGGATGTGTGGTGCCGACGTGGTCCAATGTGGTATAAATATTATTTGGGGCAGAGGAATGATGGCGTCCATAATGCATTTAATGACATTTATTGTAAGGTGGTTGATCACCAGTGCACAGGAGGGGCTCAAAGCTCAAGGTGTTTCGTCGCCTTTCTACTCATCAGATGGTCGAGAAGTACCACCTTTTGAGTCACCCTCACATAATATCAACCGATGAGTCGGCCGAATGGAGTGATTAAGTAGTCAGCTTAATCAAAGGACGATGTGTTAAGTCTTTCGGCTTAATCAAAGGCCGAATGGAGTGATTCCTCAGGATTAGGCTCAATGTCAGCTTCGTTGCCACTGTCAGCGGCCTAATTTGATTGCTCAGGCTCTTGGGAATCTAAATAGAAGACCAAGTCAGTGTGAAAGTTCTCCACCCCTCTGAAGGGTTGCTTCTCAGCAATCAGAGTTCTGACTTCTTCCTCCTCGTCAGCATATTTCATGACTTGATGAAGAGTAGATGGGATAATGCGATTCACATGAATCCAAGGTCGTCCTAACAACAAATTGTAAGACATGTTTGCATCTATGATGTAACAATTCACTTCGGACTTGAGATCTTCGATTTAGCACCTGAGTTTGATTTTACCCAAGGGTCGTGTGATGTTGGCGTTAAATCCGAAGATGGTAGTCTGAGTGGAGTTCAACTAGTGTAGAGGAATCCCTAGAACTTGCATGACCCAATATGGCATGATGCTAAGTGCCGAGCCCGGATCAACTTGTACACGACTGATCTTAGAAGAACCGATATACCTTGTATAGTACAGAGGTCTATAATGCTTGTGTTTAATCTACACGTCTTCCTGAGTGAATGATATGTATGGTAGACTTTTTGCAGCTTGTAGACACTATACACAAGATTGTCCCTTAGAAGTTTCTGGAACTGGAGCAACTTAAGTAATAAAGCTCTCTATGTCTGTTAAAGCTTCAATTAGAGCTTCTCTTGTGGTCTTGGGCAATTGGAGGAGCTCGTACAAGGTAATGCTCGCAGGGATGTTAGCCAATTGATCCATGATATTGAATCAGAAGGGAGTGTTCGATCCTCTAGTCTCCTATTGAAGAAGGTTTTGGTTGAAGTGAAGCTCTTTCTGTTTTCTTTTATCAGTTGTCTTCTTAGCAGGAAAACCTCTAGCTCCTGGGCTTGTTCGTCTTCTCCTTGAGCATCTTGGCTATAGTTTTTCAAATATGTTTTCCCTGATAGGGTGCCAGGGTTATCTCTTTGATCTGCTGTAAGGACAATCCTCTCTTCTTTCGAGTCCGTAAGATGTTTGAGATGATCGTCATCCTCATTTATAGATGGGCTAATCATATTGGGTGACTTTGCCTTGCATCTCTTCTTCTTCGTTGATGCACTTGTCCACTGCTGGTCTTTAATTAAGTCAGAATGGACCCACATAATTTTTTCCTTTTAGAATAGTGAGGGGTACCAAACCTTTATCCTTCTGACCATACGGGTCAGCATTCTTCATGTGTATTTCTCCCTTAGGGATAGGGATAACACCGTCCACTGCTGCTATAGGAGGAAAATCTCCGAACTAGACTGATATCAAATTGGTAGACACGATCTTCTGTTCTGGTTTCAGCTTGAGTACATTAGCATCGACCAGGTGTTGCAGAATATCCTTGAAAATATAACATCTCCTCGTTAGATTTCCTAGCATTCTATAATGTTGGCAGTAGTTAGGATCATCTACTTGTAGGCTGTCTAAAAATCACTGCAGATAGCTGATTCCCATCAAACACCGATGATAGAAGTTACAATTTGTGTCTAAAAATCACTGCAGATAGCTGATTCCCATCAAACACCGATGATAGAAGTTACAATTTGACGGCTTCCAGAAGACTATAATTTGAAGACTTTCACGTGGATCGATGAAGGTTATAATCTGACGACCTTCACAACAACTGATAAAAGCTCTAATCAACAGCCTTCACAATTAACATCGGGAGTTACAATCTGACGACTCTCATATTTTCAAGGAGCCAAGATGAAGGTTACAAGATGACGATCTTTGCAACGCTCTAGCAAAAGTGACTACAAATCGACGGTCTCTTCAAACCAAAACGCAGATATCTCTCAAACCGTAAGGAATTTGGCAAAACTGACGGAGAAAACCGAACCCTATGGGTTGGTTTTGTCGGCTCCATCTCGTCGAGATAGCTGATTTTCATATATAATTCGTCCAATTCCGACTTACGGTTTGAAAGTTATGACCTGTTCTTCGCAGCAAGTTATGTTCTGAAGTCCGTCTGCAAGACTGGACTTCGTCTGAACATTGGACTTAGCCTAAAGTTTGCCAAACCCGTCTAAGGATCGCTGCTGCATTATAGAATCAAAACGCAGAGTTCATGGACTTAAAATGCAGAGTTTAACTCTGCGTCCAACGACAAAAAACGCACAGTTCATGCGGAGCCCAACTCTCGTTCCAGGTCCAAAAACGCACAGTTCATGCGAAGCCCAACTCTGCGTCCCAGGTCCAAAAACACACAGTTCATGTAGAACCCAACTCTGCGTCCCAAGTCTAAAAACACACAGTTCATGCGGAGCCCAACTCTGCGTCCCAGGTCCAAAAACGCACAGTTCATGCGGAGCCCAACTCACGTTCCAGGTCCAAAAACGCACAGTTCATGCGAAGCCCAACTCTGCGTCCCAGGTCCAAAAACACACAGTTCATGTAGAACCCAACTCTGCGTCCCAAGTC